CTATAGGTTTGGTACTCGTGGACATTTTTTATAATAAAAAGGGATCATTGTTTATTTTTTTTTTATATTTAAATTCATTTCCTAACAATTTATTAAATAGAATTAATCTAAGTTAATCAAATATTTATTGATTTTTAATTTATCCCCTAATTATATTTAAAAGATAAATATATTATAAGTTATATTGTTAAAGGTTAAAAGTATCTAATACCTAGCACACAACACAGTATTAAATTAAATTACAATGAAAAATATATTTTTTAATTATTAAATAAACTAAATTTTTTTACCACTTTCTTCATCTTCATTCTCATCATTATCTGAATCAAAAGTGTTATCAGGAATATCATACAAACGAATGAGTGGCTGAAAATGGAAAATTAATTATAAATTACCTTTACTAAAAGATTATTATCTAACTAAAGAGTACAAACCTTGTTCGGGTCTTTCATAATGAGATATTTGCCATCCTTTTGCTTCATACACAAATCTATAATACATCTTAGTATTCCCCATGCGTTATCCATGTTTAAGTTTATTTGCGTTGCAAACTCAGTAGGTTTGTATTGTTGAGTTCCTAATATAACATGTTTGGACGAATCACGCACTTGTACACGGCTAACATATCCAAACTTTATGTAATCAGAGCCAGCAAGCAAAGCTTGTACAGTCCATTTAGCTAATTTACAAGCATTGTTTCGTAATTCAGTAGCTAAAACTCCTCCACGTTGTACATCTAACTTATGACGCCAATCTACTCCACCAGACAGCTATTTTGTCAAATATAAAAACATATTATATTGTAATTTATAATAAAATAAAGTTCAATATCATACCTTTGAGTCCCATTCATTAAGTGCTTTAATGGTCAAAAACTGTAAATCTCCATTTGGTACTTGTAGTACTGAGTCATGCTCACATCTAGCAACCAATACAATTCCATTATCCAAATCCCACTTACGGTATCGATAAGCAACAGAAGCTACTTCTCCATCAGTTTCATCGTCTGACACAAATGGATTGGGTTCATCAAACTTGTATCTTGCTTCTCCCTTTAATATTATATCACTGTTTAAAAACATTTGTCTTTAATTATTGAAGTAAAATATTTTAAAACTTACAGTCTTTAATACTTGTTGAGAAAAATTATGGTTGATAAATGTAGCTTCCAATGCCAAGTTCCTGGGTGAATTCAAGCTATTTGCTTCTTCTGACGGAGGTTCGACTGCTGTTTCATTCACAGTGAGTAAATCTACAATATCAAGTAAATAATAGTTAGAAACATTATCAGTTTTGTTGTATGTTTTTAAAAAGTCTTACCAAATTCAGTATTATCTCTCTTGTCAAAGAACAGTTTATCACCAACTTTATCAATAACTATGTCCCAACTGTAGTTAGATCGAGTACAACACATTAAGCATGCTAATATAGCATCTGTAGCATAAACATTACCCACTGTTTTCACCAACTATAAAAATTATTTTTAAATTTTAATACAAGAAGAAAAATATAATAACATTAATAACAGAATAAAACATGTTATTAGCTACAACAATTGTAGTGTCATTCATCACATTTATTATTGATTTTATTTTTACAAGGAGAATATTAATCGGAGTATCTCAATGTATAAAAATCTTATTTTGGACTTAGCAGTTAATTTTTACATATACAGATTCGGCATATTTATTCATGAGATAGAATATTGTAACTGAAGAATTAACACAAAATTAAGGAAAAATGAGATTTTCAACAAATGAAAAAAAACTATAACAAATAACAAACATGCAGAATAAAAGTTCATGAGGGTATACAATCTGAAACATTTAGAAACAGCTAAAGAATTATAATTACAATTGAGTCAAGAAATAACACTATATCATACATAAAGCATAAAACAAAAATGTCTTAAGTATTTTATATCAAAACAACTACTATGGAAAAAATCTAAAATAAGGATGTGTTTATAAAGTTATTGTGAGAACAATCTTAACTTGTTTATGAAATCTGCCAATAAGGCTATTACCTTAGCCAAAAAAAAATTCATTATTTATAGAAATGCGAATATTGAAGAAAGTATATGGACAAAAATAAAATTACAAAACAGAATACATTTTTAAACATATTAACAATGAAAACCCCAACATATGTAAATATGTTAATCAGTGATAATGTATGAGACGATTAGGCCACATATTAAGATCCAATTAAATAGCAAAAGATAATTTAAATAGAAGATCCCGAGGGAAAACTAAGCAATATTTTTAGGATTAATAAAGCCAACAAAGTTTTTAACATTTTAGAATTAAGAAATTATTAAGTTGTATAGGACAGATAAATAAAAAGAAGTGTATGATAAAGCAATGGGCTTGAATGACCTCAAGAGATGATACAAAAAGATATTATAATACATAAAGATGAAAGATGTTACACTGAAAGGTTTACAATAAGCTTAGAATAAATATTGATGTGTAAAATTACTTTTCGTATAATTGGATCATCAGTCGTAGTAACAGTATGGAAAAGTCTATCAACACGTTGCAATGGCTTTTCGTTTTTTACATTTATTCGGTCATATGACTTATCATAATATTCCAAGGAGCCGCAACATACACTAAAATAATTATATAAATAAAAAAAAGTTGAAAATACCTTATCAAGTTTGGTTTATAAATAAATATGAAACTTACAGATCTTCAGGTTCTTTAACAGTAGGCAAAGATAATTTTGAAAATCTAACAAAGTCCATCTCTTCAATGGTATTCCAATCAGCTCTTACAGTAACAGAAGCATCTCGACTTTTCATTTGCATGTTATTTTTATTGGATCGTCCCCCTTGCTTATTATTCCAACCTCTACGTGCATTTGGATTTTTACGATCTCTGTAAAACAATTTTTATCAATAACAAAATATATTTAGTGATAGGTAATACAAGAAGATTGTAATTTATTAACAGAAACTTATTATATTAAATAAAACTGTAAATTTAGATGACTGTAGAGGGATTTAAAATTTATATTTATTTTTACTCAACTAATCTTAATGTAATATTTAGTGCCATATTGCTGATATTCATAGATATTTGAAAACAGAAAACAAAATAGATTTTAATTGTATTTATCATAGTATTTTAGATTATATCATTAGGTACTTTAAGTTAATAAAGATGTTATAAATTGGGCTGCATCTTCATTGTATAATATAAATTAAGTCTAACTTTATAGTTTAAAATTAACTATATTTTATGTTTTTGATATTATAAGTTAGGCTATGTTATAATATAATACCTTTGAAGTTTGTTCAATTTTCCAAGGGATTGGAATTGATTAGAACCACCAGGTAAACGTGAAATGCCTCCACGACCACCTTGTCCTCGCAACATACGACCTCCTTGACGGAAATGACGACCCCGCTGGTAAGGAGGTTTTTGTACACGAGTCGTGTCAACTAAATGGAATGTGTTTTCATCTTCTTCGTGATAATATGTATACTGAGTACCACCCCCGAATTGAGATTGATATTTGTCTAGAAAATGACAAAATAAATGGTTTTCTTATGAAGTAATACAACTCCTACTAGAGAAAAGAATACCCACTCAAATATTTCTTGTCCTGCGACAAGCCAGTCCAGTCAGAAATCTAGAGAGAAAATTGGCATTGGTATTAATCACACAAATTCAAACAGCAATTTGGATCATCAAACATCTTACTTTTCCAATACGATCTCCTTTTGAGAACGGTTGATATGGCATGTCCTTAAACTGGTCAGGCATTTCGCACGGTCCCCATCCGAATGGGTTATTTTGAATCTCTGGGGGTACAAAATGAGGCACTTCTTCCGGCATCGCAAAATCTGTTATGAAAACACTATAGTAGGAATACAAAAATCTAATTACAACTTCGTAAGTAGTTTCAACCACGAAAGCAGAAAACACCGAAAGAATAAACAACGAAAGAGTCGTGAGTAGATGATGATAATAGGCGTTAACCTACAATTCATCATCACGCTATATCCAAGGAGGTTTGTTTATCTGCGGTTATGGTAATACCGCTACAAATTTGTAACCACCTGATAACGATAAGTTTTGATAAATAATGCCGGGTTATTTTGAAATTGTAAATTTGATACATAGTATTATTTAGATTGAATATTGTATTATTTCATATTTTATAATTATAATATGTTTTTATATACATAAATTTATAATCAAGATAATAATTACCAAATACAACATTTATATACATAATACTTGTAGATGGGAGGCCTATATGTTCCACTTTATATATCGTTTTACTATAGTTATTAGTTTATTACTTATTTATATTTTATACTTTTGTACTAAATAATAATAAACAATACAAATTTATAATTTTAAAAATATATTTAAGATGCATTATTAATAATTAATGTTAGTTAGGTTTCTCAAAATTCGTATACAATTTAAATAMTAATTAAACTCCGGAGATTGGATACGTTCATCTTAAATAATTATAAATATTATATACTATACAATTAAAAATACATTATATTATATATAAATATATTTATTTTTTTTTATAATTAATTAGGTACGGTGTATAGTAAAATTATTTTAAACTGAAAATAGGCAAAAATGATAATACGCAGCATTTAATTACAACCGAATAAAATGTTTGAATATTGAAATATTTGTATTTAAAAATTAAATTGTTTAAACACATTCATAAGAAAATACTTTAAAATCTAGGTTGAACTAGGTATGTATATTATTATTCAAATTTCAATTGCATACTAACAACTAAGTGATAAATACTTATTCATAGTACATACTAATAAGTAATATACTACTGGCACTACTTACATACTAAGTTATTTTTTTWAAATTATATTTAAATGATCTTAAAATACATATTACAGGCCTATGGATGTAATGGTTTTGTCAACGGTGATCTGTTGTAAACACATCTCAGGAATATTGTTAATAAAGTCTATAGATAATCGATACCTAATTAAAATTTATAACTTTAAAGTGATAAAATAAATTCCTCTGGATAAGGTTGTAGAGTAAGCAGAGGAAAATGATTGAAAAACGCCTGCAAACTGTTCGCATAGGTAACACAACATCATTGTATAAATCAATGATAACGATCTGCCCGGCTCTGGWGCCTAATAAATCAATAATCAATAATAAATTCTATTGAATGTAATAATTTTTCACATTATCAAAATTATAATGAAAAAGAAAATATTATGTATATTAATAATTGCCGCCTTTTCGTTAGAATAATATTGTTCAAGTATTAAATCGAATAACATGGCATTTTAACATCATCAGTATKCAAGATTATTGTTAAAATGTGATTCTAATGAAATGATTCAATGTAGATATAAAATCAAATTTACTTGGTACTTAAAATCCTTWATAATTATTTTCTGTACAACTATTGAATTACAATATAGTTCATAATATTATATAGAATTAATACTATTATTATTTTAGACAACTAATAATCAGTTTTATATTATGAACGGACAATCTTTTTTTTTAAACTTACTCTGTCTTATTAAATTTAATCAACTTCTAGACTCTAGAGTCTAGGAAGTTTTTGCTCAGTCATACTTGAGAGAGGGCTAGACATTTTTTGTTCAGCCATCCGTCCGAAAGCTATAACTTTGCTGTAGGATTGTGATTTTGATTAGGTATATTTATTTATAAACGCATGATACGTGATACTTAATTTCTTATCGAATTAGTAATAATAACATAACTTTAAAGTAAAATTATGTTTGAAGCTGAATAATATGAGACTGTAAAAAGGGCACTATTTCTTTAACATTTTTATAAAGCAGATTACTCTTTAGATTGGAAGGTAACTAAATAACTGTTAAGTTGTATGCTATAAAATCGAAATTTGTAAGATTTCAGGATGGTTTTCATGAAAATAAAAAAAATATTGAAAATTGAGAAGAAATATATTAGCATCAATAGTACCGATTTATGCTATTTTATAGCAAAAACCAAAATTATTTGATTTAACTATGATAATTGATTTAAAATAATTTGAACGATCGAATGGTGAGTATACAATAATTTAACAACGAAAAAACAAAATATGTTCAAAAATATTAAATAAAAATATACAAATGAATTAATATATTATTTTTAGTTTAATTGGATTCACACCAAAACATAATAAATTAAAATTACCACCACAATTATTAATCATAATAATTAATATGTAGGTATTATCCAAATATTTTAAAAATGTACACATCATGATTAAATTTATGAGCTTTAGCCACTTTAATTGAAACATGCGTGTCGTAATATGATCCTAAATCCTAATATGACATGATTTTATTTCATTTTAGTGGTTATATTCTGATATTATATATGTAACCAAGATAACAAATTAAACTTGAATTTTTATATGATTTTCAAGTAACATACAATGCGATACCTACCTAATGATAATTAATCTACAGAAAAATATTGTCCGGCAAATATTTGGTTTGGTATCTGGTTCAGCATCTTCAACTTAAAGGTTAGGTTAAGGTTAGAAGATATCTCAAATTCTATCTACCATAATAGAATAGTAATTTATAAAAAATAATGTTCATAGGGCTAACATCACAAAATATAAAAGTATACAAGATAGAACTAGATGACCTTTAATATAACTTCTCAGCAGATTGAAGAAAGTTACCTATTATTGCAGGTTAATGATGTTTATTTTCTCATAATACAATGATTAGGACTGGGAAATTTCTTTAGTGTATACTAGCTTCTTTAATCTTTATTATTTATTAATTTAATAACCCAGGAACACATAAAACTTCGAGTTTATAAAATTTAAAAAGTCTCTAGATTTTTAAAAAAATCTAAAAAAAACTACAAAAACAATGAGATCTTTCGTAAAGTCATTAGAATATAGTATTTAAAGTAGGTACCTAAAAATAATCAATGAATTAATTTTCCATAAAAATCAGACATAGGTACTCGCACAATTCATTATAGCATACAGTCATAAAGGTAATATAATACAATAATATAAAATATATATATCTAGCATAATATGAAATCAGATTCTTAGATTAATTGTAATCTCAGTTTAGCAGAATTGTTATTCGTGCAAGTTTATTTTATTTTCTAGAGAATAGTGGGATATAAATAATCTCTTAAACAAATATTATTATTCCATCCGAATTCTGATACGTCACGCAGAATACGCCGAACTCGGTATGTACAAACAAGACGTAAAATATAAAAACGCTACAGCAATATATACAACACCTATATTAATTAATAATACAATAGATACTCCAATGTATAATACATTTTAGTATACAAGCCGGCGGTTCAGCATACGGTCCAACTTTGACCAAGCAGTGGGAAATCGCTAGTACTTACGGTGAATAATTTATACGTAAAAATAATACGCATAATCTATTAGCATGTTATTCGAAATAAAAATTACAAATCACTACAAACTGTATTGGTATAGCAATATCATATACATGAACATACTATGAAATGTACATCGAATAGGTGCGGCACTTGTTTATAACGTCTACACACACACACACACACACTGACATAATATTGCGTATAAATTATTTATAATTCATAAACTACAATAATTTGGTTGCACGTGGTGAAACGTGAAGTGGTGCGCATTGTTGACCCAACCGATGTTAAGCGGAATCATATATAAAACAATCACAACATTTTGATAAAAAGCTGTACAGCGTAAAGAATTCGGAGAAAATAACATTTATTGTAATTTTAATATTAAAATAAAATATTATCAATGGTATTCTAACAGTAAAAATATACATTTGAAATTCAACGGGACGTTTGATTAGAACTGAGTGGGACGTTCGACCACGATAAAAACTATACTATATTTATTCTTTATATTATATATTATATTCAAATGCTGTACGTAGCTTGTATGGACGGAATGGGCCACTGTGACCATACGAACGGTAGAAGTGACAAGTCTCAAGTGTAGGCTTGTTTAGTAGACACCTTGACGAACTCGTTGACAATATAATTATATACAATTTTAAACACAATAAAAAAAAAATATTGAATAATAATTATTGAGTACGCTAGTCTCCACGGTAATTAATATTATAACCATTATTTGGAAAATTTTTAATAACCACCATAACATCAGTATAATTACAGTTTACAACAATATAATATGGATATTAATAATAATTTATTTGTGATAAATTGATAATATATCGTATCAAAACGTGGGTTGGCCTGCTTTGTCTATTCATTCGTTTTGATTACATATTATTATTATAATATTTTAATTGAACTCTGCAGTGTGTGTGGTAATATATATATATATATATATATATATTGAGGCGGTGGTGATGATGTGTGAACGGATATCTAAGAAGAAGCCGAATTCACGGAAACGATACGCATTATTATAATATAATTATCATCACTGGTGCCAAATATGTGTTTAGATAAGAGAATAACATTAATTACACAAACGCATATCGGGTGTTTGACAACGAGCATTAAATATGTATGTATTATACACTGCATAATTTAAGCCTCCTCGCAACGTATAATTATAGTCGTAATAATATCATTCATAATAATAATATAATCATAATCATTTATTAGACTCGTTAATTTTCACGAGCTCGTTGGCTCGTGTAAATTAATACCTATTATATCGTAGATAAAGCTGCTTTCGTGGAAAAGAATTTTCTTTTTGCCATCTATACAATATTATATGTATATGTGATCTCGTGTATTACTGTTTGTGTATGGCATATTATGCACTATATAAAGCTTTGCATGCAATTAACATTAATTTTGTTTTTTATAATTTG